AAAGAATGAAACAGAATCAGAATATTTAGAGAAGATAATTATTTTAATATGTATTAAGCTGCCATCGTGAGTAGATGTTCATTTCAGTGGATTAAATAAAACTGCATTTTCTATTTTAGTGTTAAAGTGCTATTTTCTAATCTCATCTTCTAATAAAGTTTCAGGAAGAATCTTAAGTTTACTTTAGTTCTCACACACAAGAAACCTGATTTGTGTTTTTCTTTTGTGTAGCAGTTGTGCAATAGAGAGGTTCTTGAAGCTCTGGTTTTTTTTGTCTGTTTTTATTGGTTAGAAGGTTTATTTGAAAATAAAGGCATTCCAGCTTCTGTGGGCCTTCCTGAATTTTGTATTATCTCTATAGGCAATCTTTTCTTTTAAATCTGTCTAAAAGCCCTTAGCCTTTACCTAAAATTGATTCCAGTCCGGTTTCCCCGGATTTTTTCTGTAAGATTTTTCTCTCTGTATCCATAGCCCTTGGCATTGGGCCTAGTAAGTACATGGTGGGTTCATTAGTAACAAGACAATTATGTTTCATAATAGGTAGAGTAATGGTGGTTCTCTAAGCGTTTTCAGCATTTCTACAAGCCTAATAGTAATCATATATTTACCTCAAGTCAACTGTTTTTGACTAAAGCTAATAGTGGTGAGGAAGGAAGTAACACCTGATGGTTCTGAACCATTTCAGAGTCCTTCGAGAGTCTGAAAGTATATAGTACTTTCTTTCCAGAAAAAAAAATGTATATGTGTGTATAAAAAAATTTACATGTCATTTCAGGGGGTTCAGGACTTCTTGAAACTTATCTTAGACCTTTCTGTGTGGAAGTAGAAAATTATGAGAGATAATTTCCCCCCACGCCCATTTCAATATATACACACAATTGAAGAGTCTCCTTGTAACTGCAAACAGCTTATGAAAGCTTTCTAAGCTCAACTGTCACTGTTTCAGAAAGGTGATATTTTATAGTAGCTAAGAGTACAGGCTCTGGAACCAATCTGCCTGGATTCAGATACTAATTTCTCGATGACCTGTGTGACCTTGAGGAAGTTGCTCACCCTCTCTGTTTCTTTAAATAGACGATTGTAAGGATTACATTAGTTAATACATGTAAAGTACTTAGAACAGATAGCTGTCCTCAGTAAGTGTTAGCCATTGCTTACTGCGTATTATCTCGCAGACAGGATTACTGTTGACTACCTGGCCAAGTGAGGTTCTCTGGGCTGTACCTTGCCCTGAGCCTGAGCGTGCCTTTTTCTAATTTGCACAAAGGCAGCATGTGAATCAGCTTCCTTCCTGTATACAGATGCGTGCTTTTATGTCAAGATAAACTTTCTTTTCCATATCAGCTTTAGGTAGGTTTCTTTTACCTTATTTTTGTGAAGAAACAGTTGCTTACAATTTTATGAGAAAAGCAAAGACCCAAATCCGTCTATAGACCTCCTCTTTTCCTCAGTATTTTCAGTAATTCACTTTGCCTCTGAGCAGAGTAACTGCTGCTACTCTTTTTGTCCACAATGTGAAAGTTTGGTTTTGCCTATTAATGTCTTTTTCTAGCCCATTGCTATTTCCACTCTATTCTCTTTTTTAAATTATAAGATATTGGATAGAGATTATGTTAGCTACTAGGATTTATGATTCAGCGAGCATTCTTGCCCTTCGAGATGCTCTTGCCCTTTGCACCCATCTCCTTCCCTCTCCCATCCAAGGTGATAATTATCCTTGTGCTTATCTTTCTCTTCTCTTGAGCATTACTAAATATTTATTCCTAAACAATATATTGAAACTTTATGTAAATGGAAACTGTGTATTCTGCTACTTGCTTTTTTTCAGCTCAATATTATATCCTTGAGTATGTCTATATGTACAGTATTCCATTGTATGGTAGTACCTCAATTTATTTGCCCAGTCTACTGTTCATGGACATTTTTAGCTCTTATTTTGCTATTATACACAATACTACCATGAATAAATAATTTTTATTCATGTTTTTAGATGCACATGTGCAAATTTCTCTAGCGTATAAAATCTAAGAGTGGAATTACTGAATTATAGGAAATGCTCATCTCCTGCTTTACTAGATAATGCCAAATTAATTCCAAAAGTGTTCATACTGATTTATGTTCCTATCATTTGAGTATAAGGATTCGAGTTGCTATTTATTAACTCAAGAAATGTTTACTGGGCATGTACAGCAGTAAATAAAAAGACAAAAAGCCCTACTCCTAAGGAGTCTATATTTTAGTAGGGACTAATAGCTAAAGTATTTACTATATCAAAATGGTACAAGTTTTATGTAACAAAATTAATAAAGCAAAGGGGGAAATGCTATCTCTCTGCTCTTAGAGTGAACTTTGGGCTTCTTGTGATGATGACAGAAAGAGATACAGGTATGATGAAATCGTTGGTCCTAATGCTTTTAAGCAGATAATGGTAGTGAAGCCATGAGTTTGAGAATGTTGCCGGGAGCATTTTTGGTTCTCCTCTCTCAGTCAGCAGTGATAAGGCTAAGGAATGGCATGAGGGGCTAGCGATAGGTATCTTATTCTGAGCACTCAGTGCTTTGGGGCCCACTTTTGACTCTTGCCTGCAGTGGTTGAGAGGACCAGGGGAAGGGTGACCTTGTCTGGAGCACATGGTACACTAGAGTTCTCTTGATTCAGGAATACTTGGAGGTCTAGGGCTTTCTCGACTCTTGAAGCTGGCAAAATGAAGTTTGAGACAAGGGTGGATTTATCCTGAGCATGTGGAGCTTTTAGGGCTTCCTCTTGACCATGCCCGTGGAGAGGTCCTGGGGGAGAAGTGGTATTGTCTAGAACCTGTAGAGCCCCCATTGTAAACTGGTCAATTTTTGCCAGCCTGCTGGATGTGAAATAGTATCTTGTAGTTTTAAATGTGTTTCCCTTTTTCACTCTAAAAGTCCAAAATTCTGTCTTTTCAATGTCAGATTTAGTCATATAACTCTACTGCTTAACTTCTAAGTTAAACTCCATGATCCTGTGGGTTTATTCATCATCATATACATGTCCATGTACTAGACACCCACGATTTCCCAATACAATGGCTGAAACTTTCACTTTGGTGGCTCTTGTCAGTAGACCCTAGGGAAATCCATTATACTCTGTGTTGTCACCACAAAGGTTATCGAGTCAGGAACCCTACCCGCTGTTCACTGTCAGAGAACCTGAATTGGTAGCTCTCACCCATACATTGTTACATAACCTCAAAAAAAAAAATATCTACACTGACTCCATTCCACCTCACCTAGCGCTCTCATCAGAATATCGGTCCCATGTTGCACCACTGTCGGAGGCTGCTCTTCAGTTGCCTTTCAAACTTGCCATTTTAAAATCTGAGAATCACAACTACTGTTGATAGGCTAAGGAAAATGCTTTGGCTGACCACAGCTAAGGCTGTAACGCCCTCTCTGCCTTTCAGGCCAAATCTTTATACAGTTTTAACACTCATGCCTTCCCTGCATTTCAATGCTCTCACAGGGTCACGCCACAGAATTCACAAAAAGAACGCTTGACAAAGTCAGGGTATACACTGTACTCTGATGACCCGTGGCACTCCCTAAGTGGCTCTCTGGTTGTTCCATAGGTCCTACTACACACCTTGTTTACTTGTTACATTCAGGCCATGATGGATTACAAAGATGATGATAGCATCTGCAAATTCCAACTGATTTGCTCAGTATTTTCTAAGACTAGCTCAAGACCATTAGGACTTGCCTTCTTAAACTTACAGTGTGCATACACCTATCAAACTAGGTGTAGGCAGTGAGACGTGCCCCTCTTGGTTTCTTTTTCAGCCTTCAAAAGGATTTCATCCAACTTCCTATTGTTAGTATTAAGAATATTATTTAATAGTTTTGTAAGCTTTTTGCTAGATGCATTGAGTCTTAACTATGGAAAGGCTATCACCATTATTAACATTATCCAACACACACATTATGGGAATGCCATGTACGGTGCCCGTTTCACAGAAGAGATGTATGCCAGAAATCTCAAAAGTTCTACCAGGTTAAACATGATTATACAGACCTTATTATTTCTAAAGTGCAAAAGGAGTAGAAACAGGAAACAGTCCTAAAAATAATTAGGCTAGTATGAATCTTAAAATAAACCAAAACCCTTCCTAGTGCCCTTATAAGAATAACTCCCAACAGATAAATTGGTTTGAATCCATATGAAATTGTCATGGGGAAACCCATGAGACAGTTGTCATCCACCTTGACTTACCCAAATGATTTACAAATGCATGTTTCTAAAAATATTGTGAGCAACTCAAAACCTGTATGAGTCGTCTGAAGTGTTATCATTTACAGGTATGTGAAGGATTCTCAGATCAACCAGCTCAACATCAGCTACTTCTGACTGGGTCCTGACTAAGGTCCTCCCAAGAAAGACTGCATTGGATCCACGCTCAAGAGGCCTCTCCCAGGTTTTCCTGACCCCGCTCCATCACCGTGAAGTGCCAAGGCCTTAAGACTTGGGTACGTGTATTACAACGGCAAGAGTGCCAGCGCCCACAAAGACCCATTGGACCTGTCAGCATCTCTGTTTGACCAAGCAGACACAATAGCTTGCCAGCAAAGCAGAGTGAGCCACGTGCCTCTGCATGACATCAGCAGCTGACTAACACACAAGAAAAAATAACAGATTTAGACTAGAGCCCTATATTTTCTTGAGAAGCTGGGATTTGAAGGAGCCATTTTTGAGATCTGTGCTCCTAGCAAGTGACTCATAACATAGAGTGGATCAGTCCCTGAGTTCAGAGACTGAGTTGCAATTGAGTGAAAAATAGACAACGAAATCTTGAAGAATTGCACGGAGGTGCAAGCCAAATTTAACTCTCTCCAACTAGTTGTGGTCGGACTGAGAAATTGCTAAACCAAACCTGTAATAGGACTGGTTATTTGCGTGTCTCTCCTTGTCATTGTTGCCTTTTACTGTTACATTGCTTTCTGTGTTGTCTCTGCAGGCCCAGATGTTCTCGGATAATTCACATTGCCCCGACTGTGGGCAGCAGTGGTTCCCTAGTTTAGAACTAGGTCATTGGTTGTACCAAACAGAACTTGTTGCCAATGAATGTTACCAAGTATTCTTAGACCGTATTAACAGAGCTGATTATTGCCCTGAGTGTTACCCTGATAATTCTGCTAACAGAAGCCTTGTTCTTCCTTGGTCCTTCCCGCTCGAGTGGGCGCCCCAGAATCTTACCAGGTGGACCTTTGAAAAAGCTTGCCACCCATTTCTTCTGGGTCCTCCACTGGTTAGAAAAAGGATCCATGACTCTAGAGTAGCCGGTTTTAACCCTGCGTTACAGCTGATCTTGACCAGGACAGACACAACCTTAAACAAAAAACTTGGTCAAAGCAGTTAATTTTCTAAACAGTTAAAATCATGGAGACTCTAGAGGATTTTGTACTGGTAGCCCAAGGAAGATGGAAAAATGACTCCTTTTAAATCTGATCCAGACTGTCACTGCTGTGGGGAACTGCTTAAATTGTTGGATCTGCTACCATGGTTTACACCTACTTTGTTCAGCATGAATTTAATGAGTATTTCAGCCAGACTGTTCACCTAGAACCAGACTGTTCATGTTCCCTGTGTTTTGGAATTAGCTTACCTCTCCTGAAAAGCTCCACAGCCTAATTATTGACAAATGACAAGGTAGTTCTGGAGAGGCCCTCTGCTGTGTATACCATAATGATCTCTCTAATGATAACTTTTGTGGGAGAGCATTCTCTTTGTAGCTTGATTCTAGATCATTCCAGTAAAACTACTAGATATTTTAATAAGAAACTTCATTATTCTAAATTCCACCTCTTATATATTAATCAATGATTTTTTTATATATATATATACATGATTTAGTCACATATAATCATTTGTTCATTGGCTCTATTTGGCCTCAGTATGGCTTTGACATTAATCGATAATTGGTCACCACCAGAGAAATCGCATTCTACCAGGTAACACCTACACAGATTACACAGAAACGTGCAGAAATGCTACTATCAAGACTTATGTGGCTCTACATAAACAGAGACTAGAATGTCCCTCCCTGGAAATGGAAAAGCACCTGTGCTAAGACATAGGTGACAAACGGGGTCATCCAGCTCGACTCCATGTATGTTATGAACAGTCTAAGGGAGGCACCTTTCCTAAAACTAGGACGGTCTTGCTGGACTTGAGCCACATTCTGGCCTTCACTTGTTCACGAGAATCTTGGAACCAGAGCTCGGGTTATGAAACTTAGAAAAAAAGCTGTTGAAAACATCTTAGAAGCCACTGAACAATTTTTAAATTCCACTTAAGATGCTAGATAATCCACTGTTTGCGTAGCAACCCAACAATGTTCTCAAGGTCCCAGATGCTTTCTGTTTTTCCCGCTGGGGTCCTTATCACATTGGCTTTTGTCCTCATAGTGTCCTCAGTGAGTACAATGTGGCTTGTTGCTGCTTTAGGCATTTCAGTCCCACCCAAAGGCTGGAAGTAGGGAGCAAAAGCTTTCTCATTACAAGTCTCTGCCTTATTCGAAAAGAAAATCTTGCTCAAAAGTCTTTCACAGACTTCTTCTTACATCTCATTAGCAGGTACTGGTTCACAAGGAGGCCCGGGAAGCCAGGCAAAGGGGAACGGGGCTGGCAGCGGCTGGGTAAGGCACATTGTCTTCTAATAAAATCAGGACTTTCAGGAAGGAAGAGGTGAGGAATGAATGGCTGTTGTATGCAACAAATCATGCCTGCCACATGTTGCGAAACCTAAAGTTATTTGTTAGTCTGTATAAAGAATGTACTCCAGAGATCTACCCTGTATCTGCCTTATGTCTATCGTGATGGAAGCTCTCTCTCGCTTGTCATATTGCTGAATAAACTGTGTGGACTGCTAAACTGCGTGAAGACTAGTTAGTTTATCATTAACCCTTGGTTAAAGACTCCTTCACTATCCTAAAGCTCACTGTAAAAATTAAACATTTACTTAGAGGTACTGCTTTTGAGGATGGTGTTATGAGCAATATTATTGTCCCCTAGATTTTTTCACATACATACTAAGAAATACTCTGCATATGTGAAATTGTAATTTTCAGCAAAATAGAGAAAAGGTCTTTTTGTTTCAACCATTCTCTTCTTTTTAATAGTAAAGACAAATTAAATGAATTTATACCATTGACTTTCAAGTCAGTACCTACATAAGTTTGTCAAAAGTGATCTTGATCTTACAGAAACTTTGGTTCCTTAGCTTGCTCACAGGGTATTTTACAGTGCTTTAGGAGACTCTCGTGCAGGTGCTGTAAGAACCATACTTTGAGAAATACAATAGCAGCACGTCCATGATACTTCGTTATCTGGCTTAAAAGGATGGGAACTGAGTCCTCGTCATACTGCAAGGTGGGGATAATTATTGTACTTTGCTGGTGACATATAAAGAGATTTCATGCCAGACGGAAGGTCACTGTTGACATCTCAGGTTACAACTCAGTCCCATTTTTCTCATTAATTAATAGGACTTGTAGTCCTTACAGATAGTTTTGTGTGGTGTCATTATAAGATATGTGAGTATGTGGGCAAGAGAAAGGAATCAAAAATACTTTAATATTACATTAAGAAGGGCACTTTGCCTTCAGATGTGATTATATTATCCCATACCTGTTACATGGTATCTCTCAGAAATAACATCATATGGTAGAGTTCAAAATCGAACAAGGGAGAAATTTTAGAAAACTTTGTAGCTTAGGTCTTTTCAATATGGCTACACTTGGCTTAAAATGGTGTAGATTATTCTAGAGTACTCCACTTAATAGTTTTGAATAATGAATTTTAAAGTATAAGTATGTTCCTAAAATTAATTTTCATGACAAATGATCTGGAGCATTATCCATTATTTTGGATTATGTGAGCCATACCAATCTCTACTTCCATACCTGTGGAGGAATTGATATGATAATACCTATGCAGAATGGTGGCCATTGTTTAAAATGACTTAGAACTACTTCCTGTTATTTTATGGCAGACCTGGGAGTGGAAGGTTAATGGAAATATGCTTGGGCAGGTGGGGAAGAAAATATTTGCTAAAGAGAAGGCTGTCCTGGCTTGTGGGTGACAGATAAGATTTCATCTCTTAAGTTAAAGGAACCCCAGGCAAGCAGGCAGGCCCAGGCCAAAACAGATTCCATGACATCCAAAGAGTATGTGGCTATCAGCATGATAACAGATATCTGTAAAAGCGAGATGAGTCATACCTTTCCCATCTCTTCAGCTTCCCCCAGCAGCCTTTGATTCTCCCTGGAATCTTGGGAACAACTTGAAAACTGCTTATTATAGAGGAGAAATGATGGCTTTGCAGCCAGCTGACCTGGGTTTGTCTTCGAATTCTGACACAATTGAATGACTTTGGGTGATTTAACTTCTGTATCCAGTTTCTTCATCTGTAAAACTGAAGGAATAATCATAGTCCATACGTCATAAGATTATTATGAAGATCAAATAAGTTAATACATAAAGCGCTTTGCTGCCTGGCCCCAAAAAAGGCATTTAATAAATGTTAGTTATTATTGTCATGTATGTTTTATATGTTACTTATCTCCACAGCAGGATTACAGATTGTTTGAGGGCCAAGATATTTGCTGAACGTAGCCTAAAATGGCAACCTTCACTAAAATAAGTGTTTAAAAATAGAAAAAAAATATATATACACACACACACACACACACACACACATATGTACATATACACATGTATTTCGCCCTGACTGCCATGCATCTGTCATGATGGCATTTATATCTAAACTACCATCCTGGATTGACTGATTCTCTTTCGTTCTTCTTGGCTGCTAGACTTTTAATCTCTCTCTCTTTTTGATTTACATCTTAGTGTTGCAGAGACCAGTGCTTCCTGATACCTGCCTCTTCCTTCTGCAGGTCTTCTCCAGGTCTCCATCCCATCCCCTCCTCCTCCCTGGTCCCCATGGCGACACTAGAGGTTTTCAGGATGGAGGAGAGGTTGGGTGAGGGGTCCTACTGCTGTCCCAGCTCTGATTTTGTTCTCACAGGCAGGTTTTCCTTGCCCTCTCTCCTCCCAGCTGGTTGTAACAAAATCTATGGCAGACTGTAGTTGAATGGTGCCTCTTTAACACACGTTCATTGTATGTGGGCTCAGTTACCATTACGGGCCTTTCCTTTTGATTCTTTTCCCCATAGATTTATTACTCATTTTAAAAATTAACTACATCAAATACATAGGAAAGTACTGACAATAGCATTCACCTATGTACCCAGATATAACATTAACATTTTGTCACATTTACCTCAGTTTTTTTTTAAAGATACTTGACAGGTACAGTTGAATCTCGTTCTTGTTCTCATCCAATTCCTGTCCTTCCCTCTGCAGAAGCAAGCACTAAATGGAAGTTGATGTATATCCTTCCTGTTTACGTATTTAATTTTTATTTTATGTATATATATATATATATATTTTTTTTTTTAAAAATGTACAAAGCAATAAAAATATTGGGCATTCAAAACGTTATTACTCAGTAACATTTATATATAAATGTAATATACATCAATTTGTAGCATTATCCACACAATACTTAATTTTGTATGTTGGAGCATGTTAAACTTGATTGTGTTACTGCGGTGCAAAGGTCATTCGGTATACCAGACAACAAACACCTACCAGGTTGTCAAAGCATGACCATAGGTACAATGACATGGAGCAGAAAGGGTACATCATAAAAGACAGTGCACAGGGCAGCCGCATCTGCAGAGGAAGTAGTGAGGCAAATTTCTATCCCTTTTGAGAGAAGTCCCAGGACATCAAAATTAAGGAATGCATCTGTTGACCTACCATCTGGTGCATTCTCCATAAATGGAGAATAAAACCTTACTGCTTTAATCTGTTTCAGGCCCTCATGGAGACAGTTAAAGCAAAATGATAAAAGTTCTCTTGCACATTCCAGGGTCACCGGAAAGTGGATAACTGCCAGTGATGAACCTGTTATATTTAAGTGGAAAAATGAATCATCGTAATCTCTGCGTATGGGGCGCTGAAAACCAACATGTCACACAATCGAACTTAAAAGGGACTCACTGAACATACATGTTTCTTGTGCCATATGAAGCACACGGGTCTTCATCAGTTCCTTTTTGCAAAATACTCTGTCAAAGGTTATTCTTTTTTTGGACATACTTATGGAATGGTTTTTCCTACGGATGCAGAAAGTCTCCAACATCCCATTTCCATGAGGCTGAGGCTCTGCCTCACTTCCATTATGCAGTTCAGAGGTTCCTAGTATATACACTGCCAGGTATGGATTGGACTGTGTTCAAGACTGACCTGCCTCTGGAATAGTGGCCTCCAGATCCCCCAGGAGATGTGACTTCTTGTGAGAATGTGTCAAGCTCCACGGCTGCTGTACCACTTCTTCTTTGCAGCCTGGAGGGCAAACTGCTTCAGCTATGGGCGTACGAACATGATGCGTTACAGAGGACTCAAACGAAATGGGCCACAGTAACGATGTGTGCCTTGAGACAAAAAAGGTGTATACTGAGCATTTGTAAGATGATAGAAATACCTGTGATGGTTCCTTTGCAGATTGTTTATTGGCTGCAACCTAGTTACCAAGTAATACATTTTTGAAAGCATTCAGTTCTGTCTGTTTGAAATAAAGTCGATTGAGGATATTCTACAAAATAAAATGTAGAGATTTTGAGTTGGATAACAAGTGTAACCACCACAGTACAGATGGGAAACACTTTCATGGCCCCAAAATGTTTCCTTGTGCCCTTTTCCAGTCAGTGCCTCCTCCCCCAGGAACCCCTGGTCTGTTTTTCATCACCGTAGTCCACGGATCTACACTAGCAGAAAGACTTGTCTCTAACTCCTCCCTTCCCTTCCAGTTTGTAATTGGCACCACTCTATCCATTCATTCACTCATTCGCTCGTTCATATTCTTTTCAATTAAAATATGGAGTTCTTACTCTACACCAGGCACTGCGCTAGGCATTTGGGATTTAAATTTTTAATTTATAAAATTAAATTTTATAAAATTGTGCTGTGAGAAAGATACAAAGAAGGCTAGTTGGCTAGCCTCTCAAAATGTAATGCTTCACAAAGCTCTTTCACAAATATATACATTTTTGTTTTTTATTGAGGTAAACTTGGTATATAACATTATATAAGTTCAAAGTATACAACATTATAATTCAACATCTGTATATACTACAAAGTGATCACCACTAGGAATCCCATCCTTCACCATACAATTGACCCCCTCCCCCAATCTGTTCTCTGGATCTAGGAGTTTGTGTTTTGTTTCATTTGTTCGTGTGTGTGTGTGTGTGTGTGTGTTTCAGATTCCACATGAGGGAAATCACATGGTATTTGTCTTTGTCCGACTTATTTCACTTAGCATAATACCCTCAAGGTCCATCCATGTTGCACAAATGGCAAGATTTCATTCTTTTTTTTTTTATGGCTGGGTAGTATTCCATTATGTATATGTGTCCATCGGTGGACACTTAGGTTGTTTCCATATCTTGGCTATTATAAATAATGCTGCAATGAACGTACAGGTGCCTTTATCTTTTCGTATTAGTGTTTTCATATTCTTTGGACAACTCTGCAGAAGTGGAATAGCTGGATCATATGGTAGTTCTATTCTTAATTTTCTGAGGATCACGTATACTTTTGTATTTAACCCTCATAACAATCCTTAATCATTTTTTTTAACAGATAATTAAGGTTAAGTAACTTTTGAAAGTATCGTTTTTGACAAAGAATAAGATTTAACTATAAAACGATAAATTTTTTTATTGCTTATAAATTGCTTCTGATTTTGATTCCTTTTGTATGTAGTTCATATTAATTTATACATCGGTATTCTTTGAGCACTGCCTGAAAAGCCATTGTATACAGACATATGTCTCTATTTTACAAAAGAATGCCGCTGAGAAGTCAGTGATACAACTCCAAATGTGTATTTCCTACTCCAAGGTCCAAGGCAGCCATCTTGGTTTGCAGGTAGCCCCTGTGCACTTACTTGTTAAGGATAAGTGAAAGCTTGTGACAGGCACTCTGAGAAATTGATATGGGACCGAAATTGAAGACATAAAGGAACTCTGGTGATGAATTCAGCAGTGACTTAAATTTCCACTTTTGGAATTACTTTTTATTTCAATTTCATAGATGTTCTCTTTAAGATTCTGGTCACTTGGTCTTACTTTTTACGTCCTTTCAACCACACTGGAATGTGTTGGGAGGTTACGGCATTCAAGGTTAATAATATGAAGCTTTTTTTCTTTTTTCTATTTGTAGTCTTGGATGTGGAATGTGATCCTCAAGAAAGCCAGACAACATTTTTTTCTTCACTAGAAAAGGTTTCAGGGAGGAAATAATTAATCAAACTAAACAGATTTAATAACTAAGGCTGAAGGTGGCATTTCACCCATGTAGGAATAAAAAATCATTAATTTTTTTCCATTTTATTTTAGTTACTGTATATATGCCTTGTTTCCTGGGTCCACGGGAAGCATGAGTCTGTTGGGACTTGAGTCAAGAAGAAAACAAGACATCTTTGCAAGGAAAACCAGACACTAACGAAAAGAATCCCGAAGTCTGAAGAGAAAGAGCGCAAACATGGCAGACAGAGGACTTAGGGATTCTCCAGAGGGTAAGACTGTCTGTGCAGCACTGAGGTTTGTGCTGTAGGGAACTAGGGCTGTGCTGAGGCAGAAAATTTCTGATTATTGAAACTTGAAATTTGTAAGTAAAAAAAAAAAATTTAAGTTAACTTGATTAATTCGTTATTAGAATAAAAAAATAATTATTGAATTTTACCATAATTTACCAGACCTTAATTATAAGTAAGATTCATGTTTTTGATCATTGGTTGGTATTGGAAAAATGCAGTGAATCTTAAAAAAAAGATGGTAGACAAATCTTTATTTCTAAAAATCAAGAAAACTGACGTGGTATATATTTAGAGGGGATCTTTCAATGATAGAGAAAGATGAAATTTAAATTCATCCTACATATGTGTATATATAGGATATACAAAGAAGGTAAAATGTGAAGTTGATTTTTCAGAAGAGCAGAAGGGCATATTCATTTAAATCTTTTACTAAGGATGTTTTTAATATACATAGAAGTGGAACAGTATAACGAACCCCCATGTACTCAACGTCTATCTTCAGCTATTATATACATAATGTTGTCTTTGGGCTGTCTTGGAATATTTAAGTGTGACTCTAAGACATAACATCATTTTATTTGTAAATAGTTTATATCTCTTAAAGTTAATTTAAAAAAAAAGACCAAAATAGCATTATCACACCTAAAAAATAAATGCATAGTTATTCCTTAATATCATCACATATCCATTGAGTAGTCACACATTTCCCCAGTTGTCTGATACTCTTTTTTTTTTTCTTCACAGCTGGGTTTTTTTTTTTTCTCTTTACAGTTGGATCACATACTGTGTTTGTTGTCTCTTGTAGGTTGCTTTAGTATTTTTAAGCTTTATTACAGAAAGTTTCAAACATATATAAAAGTAGAGGGATGAAATGAAGCCCATGTAGCTGTCAAACAGCTTCGGCCTCTGTTGGCACGTGGCCCCTGCGGTTTCCTCTACCCGACCTCACTTCTCCTTCCCCGCGCATCATTTAAGTGAAAAATTCCAGCCATCATATAATTTCAGCCATAAAAATACTTGAATACTTATCTCTAAAAGATAAGGGTTCTTTTTTAAAAACATTTTCATAGTACCTTTATCGTTCTAAAGATGAACAAAAGCTTCTTAGTTTCATCACATATCTGGCATTCAAATTTTCCTGTCTTAGAAATATTTCTTTAACAACTGGTTTCTTTGACACTGGATCGAAACAGTGTGGCCCACACGCTGCATTTGGCTGATGTGTCTCTGAAGTCTCCCTTAATCGATAGGTGACCCTCCTTTTTTTCTTTTCTTGCATTTTTGTTTTTTCCTTGCTGTTACTTAAGAAACAGTCGTTGGTCCCTTGGCATGTCTCATGTTCTGGGTTTTGCCGATTACATTCCTGAGGCATAATTTAATACATTTCTCTATCCCTGTGTTTTGCTGGATACTGGTGGGTAGCTCTAGAAGCACGATCAGGTTCAGGTTCAGTTGTTTTGCAGGAATACTTTCTAGGTGGTATAGTGTACTTCCTTTCGCAATGAATGGGGAGGTTCATGACATCTGGTTTTCCCTCTTTTTGTGATGTTAAGATTGATCAGTGGGTTCAGCACCAACTCCTCTGTTTACTCCTGCCCCTCCCCCAGGGGTGGCGGCAATGGATTTGGTTGCCGTTGATGACAATTGCCTAGATCCATTATTTCAGTAGGGAAGAGGATGTATTTAATGCAACTATAAGTTGATTCCGTCATGCAGAATAGTTTTACGTTAGTATTATTTGTTAGATTTATTAATGTGGTAATAAATGTTTGTCTTAATCTTCTTTAGTGGATATCAAGAGAAATAATGTTTAGGAAGAATGCCTTGCAAACCATAAAAAAAATCTATATAAATGTTACTATTTATCAGGGAACTTGTTAAAGTACAAAAAAATAAGGGAATTTTTTTCAATAAAAATTATAAATTTTTATCTCAATAGACTCTCAAAAGGATTTGGAAAATGACCCATCGATACATTCTCAGGCACAGGAGACCACAATTACAGCAAGTACCACCGAAGAAGCTCAGACTCTTAACCCCGCCTCTGGTCCCCCCAAAGACCACCCAGAGGTAGAAACAATAGATTCAGGAAGTGATCATGCATGCGGTCCAGATGAAACAAATTCTGGGGAACATCCAAAGGATAAAACAGAACCGGAGTCCAACCAGAGTTTTCAGGATGGGGAACAAGGGTGTCAGCTCTCACCAGAAAGTGTGGGCGAAGAGCCCTGGCACCCAGAACCCAGCCCGTCTCCTAGGGACGAGGCAGGAGAAGCAGATGCACACTTAGGGGGCAGCTCTGTAGCCCTCCCTGAGGAAGCAAGCGACAGACCGGGAGCTTCACAGGAGCCACCTGCCGTAGACCCCCAGGGCGCCCAGAGTCCTGGTCCTTCCAGTGCAGAGCTGGAGGGCCAGGGGACACTGAGGAGGCGGCTGCTGGTGCCAGGTGAGAGAACCCACTGAACTTCTGTTTTGTATTGCGCTATCACTGAGAACACCGCATAGGTCAGGGTCCTTCTTTTCAGAGAATGTTTCTTTCCTTCCTAGGATTAAGGGCTTTGGGCCTTGCCCAAGGTCACATAAAGGGATATGACAGAGCCGAGATTAGAATGAGGTTTCTTATCTCCTAGATCAGCTCATTTCCACTACATTGAGTTACTTCCCACACATAAACTGCTTTTTTAAACATTTTTATTTATCTACTGTTTGTATTAATGCAGCATGATAAAAGAAAAAAGTGTATAACTTTTTAAAAATTCACCTCTGGCCTTTTTTGCTTTTTTAAATATTTCTTAGGAGCATGTTTTCACTTATAATTTTAAAAATCTTTTATTTTGGGGGGGAAACAAAATACCGCAAAAATCAAGAGATGGGGATATTTAAAAACCAACATCGATCTGTACAGTACCCACATCACAGTCATTTCAGTTTTATGGGACTTTGAGCAAATCAGTTAATTTCTCTGTATCTGTTTTTCCCCACTTGTACGTTAGAGAAAAAGCACTATATCTTGCCTTAGGATGATAATAGTTACAGTGTGCTGAGTCCTTACTGGAACTCAAGGGACACGAGTTCCAGTTGTCGCCCTCCTGCTTGCTAACTTGGGTGACCTTGGGCAAGTCTTTAACTTCTGGTATTTCAGTTTCCTACCTGCAGGATGAAGTTGGACCAGGTGATACCCGGCTGGTCTTGTCCAGCTCTGGCCTGTGATTGTAGGTGTGGATCTGTATTTTATAAGTACTCTGAAGAGCTCAGTCTGGAATGCCTATTTGTCGGTGCAAAGGATTGTAAAATATAAGACATTCTGTTCATCAGGGACTTGACAGAGGGCTAGAAATTCATGTGTCACTATAAATCAATGACTGATCTCAAATATGTTTCGTTAAAATAGTCTGTGACTTCAGTGAAGGCAAGGACCGTTTCTCTCTTCATTGTGTTTCTGTGGCACCTTTGTGAATATTTGTTAAAGGAAAGAATGAATGAGATTTATATGGACCATTATCTGCCATCAAAATTCCACCGGTATGAGCTAATCTAGGAGATGAGAAAACTTGTTCTGATCTTGGTTCGGCCTCATCTCTTTATGTGACTTGCGCAAAGCCCTTAACATCCCTGGCCCTTTTGTCGTGATAGGTAAGGTAGGGGGCTGGAGCAGGTGTTCATTAAAGATCCTTTCAGTCCTGAAATTCTGTAATATGATATTTTAAAAATCTCTTTTGGTGTAATATGACTAAATGAACTATCCTTTAAAGGTGAAGATGATTCTACTTTTTTACGTTAATGGAGTATGTTATTTGAATTGTTTTTCCGGTAAGGGTTGTGGGCAATACTTAGCTTTCACTGTTATATGAGGTGCCTGCCTGGGGTCAAGCCCACAACTAGACTCTAGGTTGACTTAGCTCAGAGTGCTACAAAATACTGCCCTCCTTTACGCCCACACATTTTCAGATGGATGTGTCACCCCATCACCTACATTTTTATGTAGTTGATAAATTTTCTTAACCTTGTATTCCTTGCTTAGTAAACTCTTAGTATACTTCCTTCACTAAGAATTTCAAATTTGCTTTTGTGGGTTGTTTTGCAACTGCACAGTAATCTCTCCTGTCTCTAAACTTAGTGCCCTCATTGTTTGTATACTTGGGGGCCTTGTGGAGCCGTGTGGGACTCAGACACTGAGATTAGAGCATCTTTGCCCTGAGATGCCGAGTCCTGTGTACAGCTGACATTTCTTACATCACTTCTTAACTTTGTACATTTTGTTAAATCACATTTTGGATAGGTTTGGCTGCAATATTAGGAAGCTGCTTCTTCATCCTTGTTGTAAGGGCCAGGAAGGAACCGTGAATGTAGCAACAGTATCCTTAAATGAATTTTGTAGCACTACATTTTATTCTTCTAAGTAGAATAAAAGTAATAGTGAGCCTTAAGGAAAAGACAAGAAAAAACTTCCCCTTGCATAAAAGAAAATTTTACAAAGTATAGAAATGCTCTCAGTCAAACAATTCTTTGGCTTGGTAAGAGGTATACACACTCATCAGTGTACTGGCTAAATATAATGGTTTTTCTTTTTTTCCTCCAGAAGCTGAAAGTCATCAAGAAGAAACACAAAAATTGGAAGAAAACAAAGAGAATGCACAGGATTCCATAAGAAAGACTGATAAAAAGGATTTTTGGTGCTATGGTAGGTATGAAACGGGTGTCCCTGCAGTATTGATTCATATTCAGAAATGCTCAGAGAAGATCTCTAGAAAATCTACAGTCTTACACAGTTTTAACATTGTTTTAATATGTTTTTTTAAAGAAAGTAAAGTAATTCTAAAAATAGAGCAATAGAGTTTTCGGGATTTTTTTCTTTAGGGGTACTGGCTGTTACATGCCATCCATAACAAAATGGGATTTCCCACTGGAGGAAAGACATTTTATAAACAAGAAACTGAAACTGCCTTTTCAATTAGAGAGTTTTAACTTCTCAAGTGGCATTTTTACATTTTGACGCGTTAGAAAAAATGGCCTGTTAACATGTAGTAGGTACTTTGAGAAGGTGGAAGAAGATACTGATGGTTCATTTCTGAATCTTTATATTATACTGTAGCAACATATTATAGAACAAATATATGACTTAGCTTTTCCTTTTAGCAAAGGTATTGTATCTTAAAATAATTAAATCTAAGAAAGCAGAGAAAAAGTATATCTGGTAGATTTTAAGAGCAGAAAGTTTAAAGGATTTTGGCAAAAGAAACCACAGCCAGTAAAATCTAACGGTTTCTCTACTTCATTTCAGTTTACCGCAGGCTTTCTTTCGGACTCATGCTCTCTCTCTAATTTTTTCTTCTATTTTTCCATTCTCTGACAGGCTTCATCTTTCTTGGTTGCCTGGTTATGACTCCCGTTTTGCTAAGCTTTGCTGCTCGTAGCTACTATTCCTCTCCAACACAGCAAGCGGCCAATAATCCAGCTTTGGAGGCCTTCTTGGCTCACTTCAGCCAGCTGAAGGATAAATTTCCAGGCCAGAGTTCCTTTTTGTGGCAGAGAGGGCGTAAGTTTCTCCAGAAGCACCTCAATGCCTCCAACCCTACCGAGCCGGCCACCATCATATTTACAGCAGCGCGAGAGGGGAGAGAGACCCTGAAGTGCCTGAGCCACCACGTGGCAGATGCCTACACCTCTTCCCAGAAGGTCTCTGCCATCCAGATTGATGGGACTGGAAGGACCTTGCAGGACAGTGACGTGGTCAAGCTATCGGTGGACAAGCTGCTGAGCTCTGGCTTTGAGAAGGGCCGGAAGGCTGCTGTGGTACACCGCTTTGAGTCCCTTCCTGCAGGCTCCACCTTGATCTTCTACAAGTACTGTGACCACGAGAACGCCGCCTTTAAAGACGTGGCCCTGGTCCTGACCGTTCTCCTAGAGGAGGACACGTTAGAAGCCAGCGTCGGCCCAAGGGAAACTGAAGAAAAAGTGAGAGATCTACTCTGGGCCCGGTTTACCAACTCCAACACTCCCAGCTCCTTCAACCACATGGACTCGGACAAACTGAGTGGGCTGTGGAGCCGGATTTCCCACCTGGTGCTGCCCGTCCAGCCGGTGAGGAGCATCGAAGAACAGGGCTGCCTGCTGTGAGCCGGGCGTAGGGCTGGCTATGGGAGTGGCATGTGGGTTCATTAGAAAGTCAGTTTAAAAGCCTTCCGTTTATGTGGAAGGAGATTGACGAATGTGAGGAAACTGCCTGAAAAGCATAAATGAGCTCATTTTAGGAAAAAAATTTTATTTTTTACTTTGTGTAAACTTTTTCTAATCTAAACTTGACAACGCTAAAAGTTGACCTGACTTTTTTTCCTTGACTTTCAAGCAAATCAGGTTTGAAATATAACGTGGTATATATCACTGAGGATTTTTTTTTAATCCGAAAATATAGCAACAGAATTATTGCACAGAAAAATAATCTTCTCAGAGTAACTACAGAGTGGTTTTTGTTTTCTTGAGACTCTAGAAAGCCTTTTGGTGAGTATTTGGGCTGGAGCAATTACAGTTATGAAGCAATGATAATTAAAAAAAAATGTTTTCTATCACATGTTAAATATTTTAAAAACTCATTTTAATAGCCTAGTTGTGGGATTACATTTTATACTAATTTGCACTTTTGAATAGTATGAAAAAAGGACATTTGAATTCAAACGCTTAGCTAAATACTATATGGAAGGCACTGTGCCTTTTTTCTTTTAATGAGCTGAGGTAAAAGCAGCTATAATCAAGAAATGTTCTTAAAAATTGAAAACAATGCGGGGGAGGGGGGATTGTAATCATTGGAAATGAAGAAATTCCAGTGGACCATCTCTTTGCTTCAGCTTTCTTGAACTAGTCAGAGCAGTGATTTTCAAGCTGTGTCTGCTGGCCCTCTCCCCTTTGTGTGAGAGCAGTTCTGCGTTGACTGCTTCATATTTTGGGATTCTTCATAAGACTTAATTGGAACAAAGACTTACACTGATAATGACCAACTGAAAACCACCGACTGAGGGAGAAAATATCTTAGAAGATAGGAAATGGGTAAAACAAATGAATGTATTAGATAGAACTCATGTGTAGGAAGAGGATGAAATATAGGTTTATTATAGATACATTTTTTATGAAAGACAAAGACCTACAGATAAACAGAATATTTAAAGTATTTACTAGCATATTTCTGATACTTTTGTTAATTTCTGTTAATCATTTCTGTCTCCCTTGATTGGAATTTTGTAATTGCTTGGATGAGAGTTTGAGTATCCTCTAAGCAGAACAGATTTTAATACCAATTGAACAGGTTTTATATAGGTACATTAGCATAACTTTGCCATACTGTTTACTTATTAAGCAGTGATGGAACATTATATAATGCATCTCAGTTCTTGACCTGCTAGTTAGAATTACCTTTAGGTTAACAATGAGAGAAATACAAGCGATGTCACACTTAGTGAGAGGAAGCAGAAATGGTAAATAGCTTCTAAGAGGTTCTATGGCCAATATTAATTGTTGGACCATGTTCTGTGATTGTAAGAAAGATTGAGAACAGTGTTCATGGAGATAGTAGGATGTTTGTTTGTTGTTTGTTTTTGCGTTCCAGCTCTGAAAGTAGAACTCTAGTAAATGATCTTGACCTAATGAAGGGTCTGTGCCATTATATGGCATCCCTGGGAACTATCATTATGGTCCTGGAATAGTTCAACAGCTATTGGACTCTTTCAGTTAGGTTTCGGCCTCTCTGCTGCTATGAAAATAGAGAAAAGAAATCACATGATTAAAGTATGGAAGGAGTTTCAGAAACAGTAGGAAGATAATAGTGATCTTTATTGATACCTAAAAGATCACGAAGACGTGGGGGAACAATCTGAAAATATTTGTCACAGGAAAAAAGCACAAATCTGTTCTAACCGAGGCTTACATTGTACTCAGCTGAGGAGGAGCACACCTATAGGAACTATTTTTCACTTGGGACTTTGTGAAGGGGTCTTGCAACAGAGTAGAGGAAAGACCTGCCCGGATGCAAAGTTAAAGCACAGTGAACATAATACCAATATCAATCCAATATAAACTCAGAGGAAATTGGAGAAAAATCTATATACCATATTCAATCTTTTTCTGTATTTCTAGATCTCAGATCCTAGCATTACATCGCAGAAACCAATGGTGCCTTGTAGAGCTGTCATGTTGGCCAGCTCACCTGTGCTACCTCAGGGCTCTAAAGAACCAGTCTGAAGTATGCATATCGAATCTGTCAGTGACCAGTGACTCAGATCATAGCTGAAACAAAGATTCTTATTTCTTCATTCAGTTGAATATGGTTTTTCATCACTTCCTTTCAATATAGTTTAGAAAAGGAAATTTCAAAAAGTCACAATTTTTTTTTTTTTTTTTTTACTGTTTAGCCTTTGTTAAAAATTACTTCTCCTTCCATGTATAAGTGCAATCGACTGAAAGTGTTGTTAGTTTTCTGTCCACTACTTCAAAAATCATTTTAAAAAAGAGCAGTATATTAGCTCTGGGTCTTCTCATAAATAAAATGATTATTTTTAAAGCATAAAACTTTATATTTTTAAACATACAAATAGTTAAAATTTATTATCTAATGTACTTAGGGTAATTTCTACTGAATTGTTTCTATTTTTTACATTTTTCAAATTTCCAAATTTTCTTGTATACCTAGTAGTTCATCTTTCATTACTATATAATAGATAAGTTTGCTTATTGGACTTAGAATAATGACTTGTGGGCAAATGACCAATACATGATACCTAAACATCACTGTTTAATTATTATTGTAGAGCAACTCTCATTACATTACTTATTGATATAAATTACTTCTTGATTGATACCAGAGTTCTAGAAGCACCTGATGGAATCAGAAATTATCTCTGCACTTGAGCTTTTTTCCCTGTGGGGTAAATTTCCCTGTGGGGTAAATTTTAGGTTTCCTAGTTAATTTCCAAGGGTTGGCAGAGAAGTTCCAGGGGATTCGTATCACTAAAGGCAGTGATAACATTTCTATTTTTTAAAATCAATAAAATAATTTCAATGCATTTCACATGAAAGCCTCCAAGCTCATGGTGGCGAGTAAAGCCAAGAGCACCTCTGACCCGCTGCCCCCGCTGCTAATAACCCAGGTGAACGGTGCTAGCTGCTAAGGTGGTTCTGACCCTGTCACATTTTTTAATTGTGTGATTTATACTTTTATCTGTTAAAGACAGGAAGCATAATGAGTATTTGTTAAAATACGTATAACAAACAAATAGAGCAGGTGAAAGTGATAATAATTTAGCAATATGATCTTCAAATGTTACACAGAAAATATAATTATTATATTTGGTTAGGGTCATCACTTAATGGGAATAAAGCTTACATCCATGTACAGTTTATTTGTAAAAAAATAAACAGCAACGTGAAAACTTTTCATCAGTTGAAAATATAATAAGTATAAGAATAAACCAGTACATCATTGTAAAGCCCTCAATACTTCATTTAATAAAAGCAGTTTTTAATCTGTTTTTCAAGTCAAGGATGTAGTTAAATACCAGTATTCATTTTAATATTTTGTTCACTGAGCATAATGTATTTCATTTTAAAATTTTTTGAAAAGTCATAATGGATTTTTTTTCAAAATTAAAGTACACTGCACACTGTATCACTGGTGATATTTCTCTCTATATATGTATTGTGAATATTATTGATTACAAATCTCTTTATCATAACCCGTGGAAATACAAAATGATTATTTAAAAATTTTTCTAAAGGTGTCTGACATTATCAAATACTGAGGCTTAGGGAGTCACATACTTGTGAATAATGATATGTTTGCGAAAAAGATGTTACCAATTCTAGAGAGAATTAAATGGAAAACAGTTTCTCCAGGTAACTTTAAAATATGCCTTATTTCTATTTATATTAAACTTAGGTGTTAGGTTGTAGCCTAAATTTGCCTCATTCAGACTGAGACTGGGCTATTAAAACTCATTTCCAACTAACACACGGCCCTGTCAAAACTATGGCATTGCTTCTCGACATATTTTTAAAAATATGTATATAAATTAGTGAAGAGCACTAGCCTCGTCCAAATGGCACGAGAACACGACCAGCATCTCATGATCTTCAAATAATCTGTGAAGATATAATTTAGTCTTCAACGCCTCTCCTTCCGGTATTACCTGCAGTGTCTCTTTCAGCTTGTGTTGATGTCTTTACAAATCCAGACACTGGTTCCTGTACTAGGAAATGATCTTCCACTTTTCCTCATCGGGGCTCACAGTGAAATTAGCCGTTGGCTAAGAGCACTTACCGGAACCAAAAAGAACACTGGACTTGGGAAACAGCGGGCTGAGTAACGTCTGAGTAGGGTAGAGCTGATGAGATGTTTGGCCACCGCCATCTCAGGCTTCCTTCCTGTACCCAAACTAGGCCTCAACCTTATCAACACAAAGCTCCAGGCAGCTGCTCCCCGGTGACCAGAGTACTGAGATTTAAATCCTTTTTGCCATCCCTGTCCTAAAAGAAAGAAGTGGCACGTTGACTTTCAAACACATTTGTTTTTCCTACCTAACAAAAATAAATGGGCTTTGCCAGTTTTCGTGTCAAATTTTTGGCATTCCCCTTCATTCCCAGCTGTGACTGCTTTTGCATTTGTTTCTTTACGAATGTTGAAGAATATGCCTGATTCAAATTAGTTGTCTGGTTGTACCAAAAATCCATCAGTTGACTATTTCTTGATTATAGTTCCCAAAATAGCAAGTTTATGGAAAAAGGCATGTGGTCATCAATGCTGGGAAAGGAAACTGCCTTCATGTGGCAATAAATCCGAGAACCAAAGACCCCTGTGAGGGTCAGGCCGCCCCCGTGGCCATCGGTGAAGTCACTCAGCGCAGACGCTGTGCCTAGAATCCACTGCGCTTCTCACGAACCTTTCTCTGGGTGCAAGTCCTACTTAACGAGGCTTTTTGAGTAAGGGAGAAAGTGGGGTTGCAAGTAGAGCCCTGGGAACTGTCCCAACCGGGGGTGCGCTGCTAGGAAATGTATTTAAGTGTGGACATCGAGAGTGGGAGAGTCCAGAGTGCATTAAGCCTTAGAATGCTGCCAAACCAGACTCAGAAGCACCTGGGTACCCACCTCTGCCCCTCGCCCCGCTTCTCCTGGCTTTCGGCCCCCACTATTCCAGAACCAACGGAAAACAACCAATCTATTGGCAGAGTTCATAGAATCGTTTTCTACCAAATCTGAATTTGATTTTGAAAATCTGATTTATTTTTGCAATTTAGAAAAATAGGAATGCTCAAGAGTCTGCGTATCTTAAAATATGAGATTTCTCTGAAATGAGCTAAAGTCCAAAGATAAGAGGAGCCTGAAGGCGAAGAACAAAGGATTTCCCTCCGCGCGTTTCGGAGCACGCCCGGGGCCCGGGAGGCGGGCAGCAGCGGCCCCCTTCCTTGTAGACTGGCTGACTCCAGATGCTATGAGCTGATACGGGCCGAAACCACCCTCCACAAGCAGCCTGTCTGCCCAGGGAGATACGGGACAGGCCAAATACCAGTGCTCTGACCTAGAATGAGAGGTAGAGAGGCGCAGAGAGGTGGATGAGGGCTCTGGTTACCCGCTTCTGGGGCTAGCCGAGGAGGGGAAAAAGACGGGCCAAATTGGGGCTGGTGGAGATGGGCGTGCGGGGTCAGCCGTAATCAAATAATCACCCCAGGTGGAACGAACAGGACTGGGACAATTCCTGTTGCTGTTTTTCTAACTGGTTTTTGGCAGAGGGGTGTCATGGACCCTTTCTGGATATGTGCCACGTCCACGTTTACATTGAAACCCTGTGGGTTCACAGACCTCGTGCGAACCGCATTCAAACTTCAGCCTGGTTGAGGTCCTTGTGCAGAGTCCGGGCTGGGCCTGGTTGGCTCTCCTTCCTCTGCCCTCTCTGTGGCCAGTGCTCCACGGCTGTGGGTCTGGGGGCCATGAGGAAGGCTGGCTGCTCAGTGGAGCAGGCCGGTATGGTGAGGTCTGCTGCTGTCCTCGTGGACAGCTCCTGCCTGGAGACTTGCGAGCGGTCTGCCGAGGCCTCTGCCATCCATCCTGTTGACTGGCACAGCCTGGGGCCTACGTGTGCTGACAGCCAGGGAGGAAGGAGGCCAGGCTCCAAGCTGCCCACCCCACCACTGCGAGTCTTGGCCCACTGAGCCTCCCAGCTGGTTCACCCTCTCCACTGTAAACATGTGGCCTGCCCAGGCCTCCCCTCTCCCTTCCCACAGAACAGGCTGTAAAGTTACATTCCAACTCTTTTATCTTTGGAGTTTCCTTGAAGCCAGTTTTTCCTTAAGACATTTCATCGTGGGAGAAGGGAAGAGATGGTCCCTCGTCACCCTGCCTTCCTAAGTCTCCTGAGTCCCATCCTTCTGGCAGGACAGGCAGGTTGAGCCTACCTTAAAACTTTGTTCTACCATAAAATCAAAACCTAGCTGTTAAAGATAATTCAAATGTGAATGGTTACAGAGTTCCTGTTTGGAGTGACGAAAAGCCTTTGGAAGCAGACAGTGGTGATAGTTGCACAGCATCGTGACTATAATTAATGCCACCTCGAGATGGTGAAAGTTGTCAATTTTATGTTGTCTATTTTACCACAACCCAAAACAATTGTGTTAAAATTTATACAATCTGAACTTAAGCTGACTGACACTGTTTTTCCTTCTAGTTCTCTGCCCGCTGGCCTTGTGGGGAGAAAATTGCTCCATCCTTATAGCATACAAGACCTTCTGCCTGTGGAGAGTCCCCTGAGGCCCAATGGCGGCCGTGTCCCAGCCTGGGAGCTGGAAGGGGTCAAATGCGGTGGCATGTTAAGAGAGGGACTGGGCATGCCCGGGTGGCTGAGCTCGCAGTTAAGGATCAGAGCAGAGGCCTCTGCAGGCTGCCCCCGAGGGCCCCGCTCATGGCCTGAGCTTGTGTATCCTGCGTGACTATCTCTAGGGCGTCTCCATCCTCGGGCACAGTTCCGGTATAATTTAACTCAGAAAAATATCTTTTCGAAATCTAGAGCCACAAAAATCAAAATAACATAGCCAGGCCCCCATCTCCAGGATTCCTTACTTCCTCCTAATGGGAAACCATTTTTTAACCAGTTTTTAAAAATTAAAAAAAAATTTTTTTTTTAATGTACCCTTCCAATGTCTATCTCAGGCACATTTTATATTACCACTTTTTTTCCTTAATTAAAATTCTCAATTCTTAATTTTTCTCTTTTGGGTTCCTTATTCATTATCATCAGCTCGTGACTCCCCTCATGGTGTCCTAGGGGCCGGTCTGGGTGGGAGGGAGTCAGAGGCAAGGGAAGGGTGAGGGGGGCTGGTGAGACCCTCGGAATTCAGGGGCCTGGTGTTTGGAGTCTCCTGATCACGCTGGATAATTTTGGTAGGGACTTTTATATTTGGAGCAGGAATTCAGAGGATGTTGTAAAGAGGGCCAGGCCTCTTTTAATGTCAGGTTTTATTAGACCCAGAACACAAACCCTCTCCAGGGAGTGGTCCTTTGTTAAGAATAAGCATGCAGTTCCCAGTTGGGTTGAAAACCTCTGGTCTAAGGTGAAGCCCAGCCCAGGAGGATACTTAGATTTTAGGATGGGTTCGAGTACAGCCAGGACCTGGCTCGTACCTGCAGGCCAGCACGGGAGCCCTCCAGGCGATCAAGGGCCAGTGGCCAGGGCCAGGTGAGCCGTGTCATCTTCTGTGGAGTCCTGGAGGGGAAGGCCATCTCAGATGCCCGGTGTCAGCCAGCCACCGAGCCTTTGGATGCGGATGCCTGTGGAGACCAAAACTGTCCCACCCACTGGGTGGAGTAGGCCTGGAGTCAGTGAGTCTGGGGGAGAGGGCTGCATCACCCACCCGCCCCAGCTCCTACCTGTGGCTGGGTTTCCTTGCCGTGGTGTGTGTAGAAGGGGGTGGGGTGTGGTTGATGACAGGCTAGAGAGGAAGTAGGGAGCCAAGTGCTTCCCTGGAGGTCCTGGAATGTTCTTCCCCAGGGACCAGCCATCCTTGGAAAAGGACCTCCTGCAGAAGAGGGTTCGCCTGTGACTGTGGGGTGGTCTAGAGAGAGGGATGCTGGACTGCCCAGGCCAGGCCGCCCGCTGCCCACCCAGTTGCAGTCAGGTTTGCAGTTGCTGTGGCACTGAGGTGGGGAGAGTGTGTCCTTCTCATGCACACTCCCAACACACACACACACACACACACCCACACACACACACACACACACACACATACACACTCCCAACACACACCCAAATGCCAAACAAATCTATATACTCATTATTTAATGGTGACAAGACACACACGCACACACACACACACACACACACACACACACACACACACACCCCCTCGCCCTCGCCCTCACTGAAGTCTTTCACGTATGAAGCTGTCTCCTGTTTCTCTGGTTCTCGCTCCACACGGCTCCTGTTTTTGCTGTCTCCACTGGGGGTCGGAGCTAAGGATCTGGTCCCCAAACTCTCTTCTTCCTTCCCTTCCCAACAAGCAGGGGTTGGTCATGAGACACTCTGGGTCTCCTCAGATTCCAGAGCGTTGGTGATTGAACCCAGAGCTACAAGGAGGGAACCCCATGGGCCTGGACACTGAGTACGGGCTGGGGACAGGGAGGGGGGCGACACCTGAGTTGCTCCCCTGTGAGGTCCTCCATCACCAGCGGCGGCAGGTGCACCTCAGGGAGCGCCAGCGACTACACTTCGAGTCCCCTTTCCCAACAAACAACACATCCTCCCTGGATGCGAGCTCGGACTGAGGCCATGGGAGGGACATTTGCTAGCGTGGAAGCGGGAAGGGAGAGGAAGCTGGTAGATTTTTTGTGCTGAAAATGAACATTCTAGATGATGAAAAGGAGTATGCTCGGCTGTCCCCTCCCCAACATGAAGAATGGAGGACCCTGTGGGATTTCTATTTCAAACTCCTCATTTATTTTGACATTCGCTTGGTTATCAAAGATGCAGAACAAGAAACCTGTAGCAGGAGCAGTGACGTGGAGGTGGAGACGAGATGGCGGAGAGGACGGGGTGTGCCCAGCGCCCCCTCTTCCTGTGTAGGGTGCAGTCCGGAGAGTGTCCGTACTGTGTCCCATAGCCGAAAAGTGCAGTGCAGCTGAGTGGGGTGAGCTTCCTCGTCCACAGGTGAGGCCCTCACAGCTACAGGGGGGCGGGCGGGCAATCCTGAGCCTGTGCCCTGAGCAACGTGGGGCTGCGTGGGGGAGAGACGCGGCCTACCGCTTCTCCAGTGCCCAAGCCCAGATTTTCATGTGTGGGTTGACAGGACTTAGGCTGGGAAAGCTATAGGAGGAGACAGGACTGCACGGGATGCTTTTCACTCGGGGACCCCAGCAGATCAGGAGTAAGCAGGTGACAGTTGATCAGGTTGTCGTGATTTCTGCAAAGGCAGGAGGTGCAACGACATTGTTCTTTTTCTTTTTTTTGGTGGAGGCGGGGTGGCCCCTGCTGGTTGACTGGCTGTGGAATTCCAGGGCAGCAAGGCACTGGGATTGGTCAACGGCAAAGCAGCAGAGCTGCCAGGCCCATCAAAGGGGTGCGCAGCTCACATCAAAGGGGTGCGCTTCACCCAGCAAGGGCTGGCGGTGGGCAGGGCTGTTACAGCTGCTGTCCTCCTCAGCGGGTCCCTCCAGAGTCGGAGACACATTACACTCGCCTACAGCTGCCTCCTGGTGTAAGAGGAATGTTACCAGCTGAGATGGATCACTCGACAGGAGAGCCGGACAAATGAGCGCTTTTCACGGGCAATTCACACTGTTCCGCCTGCTAATCCTGTGTTTTACCGTGGTCTTTCGTCCCTCAGCACGCACCCCGCACACAGGATCAGGCAGTTGGCAAGTGCATCCAGCCTCTGCCGGGACGGAGGCAGGAGAGTGTGGTCAGGCTGGCAGATCTTCTCAGGAAATCCTGGCTTTGTGGAGCACGACAGGGCCCTTAGAGTTCATCTGGGCAAGTCTCATTTCCCTGGAGAAAATGGGGTCTCGGAGAAGGTAAGTGACTAGTCCTAGAACTAGAGAGTGACCGAAGTGTGACCAGACCCCCGGTCCTCTGATTCGCAACCCAGTGAGCTTTAACTCCAGATTCGGAGTGACAGGAGCCTGAACGGAGTGAAGCAGAGGTTGGTGCGTGCTGGTCCCCATCCCCTCCTCCAGCCGCACCTTGCCCTTTCTCAAACGCAAAATCAAGGTTTCAGCAGAGGGGTCAGCTCTTCCCACCCGCCTCCCCACAGCACTCGGTGACTCAGGAGTGGGTGGGCTGGGTGGGCCCTTAGCAGGGAGGCAGCCACCCCTTGCTGCAGAGGCAACGGGAAAACTCATCAGATGCATTCACTCAAACAGCGAAAGGCCACGGCTGAGTTAGAAGTGGGAGCCGGACTTGGGGCTAGGGTGAGACAGCAATGAACAGGCTCACCCGGAGGCTGGGGTCAGCCCGGGAGGGAGGGCAGCAAGCGGATCCCAGGGGCTGAGTCAGAATCCTCCAGCCCTCAGGAGCGAGGGCCACTGTCCCCGGTAGAGTGAGTGGTCCAGGTCTGCCGTGTCATGGCTGGATGCCTGAGAAGGGCTTGTGTGGCAGCATCGTCCCACGGGAGACTCACTCGCTAAGCTACTTGAACTCTAGTAACAAAACTTGAAGAGGTTCTCACCCGGGCAGCTGGTTCCCGAGACAAAGACAGAGGATTTGAGGGGAGACGCGGTTAGAGAGTTGCTTCCTGGTGCATCCCCGCAGATAACTTTATGCGTTTAAAGCTGACCCGATGTGTTCCATGAGGACGGGGCAGACACAGCTGCGATGTCAGGAATCAACACCCACGGCGGGGCGGCTACGGGGCCTACGGTCTCGACAACCAGCACACAGAACTAGAGTGTGAATTCGTTTTAGCAAGTTCCGAAGGGTCCCTTTAGTGCCCTCTCCTCCCTTCCCAAACGCTGCAGTGCCTCGGTGCTCCCCGAGCCCCCGGCCCTGCACCCCACTTTCTCATTTCATTCCCCAAAGACTCTGCATAACGTCCCCTCTTCTCAAAAATGTGGCAACGCTGGGGAGTGAGGGGAGCGAGAGCTGGCCAGAGGAATGTCCCAACAGAAACGCGGGCGCATCCGCCAACTCCACCTGTCAGGCCCCGCCTCTGGGCCGGGGCACCGAGCCCTGCCCCGGGCCTCAGTGGACTCAACGGCTCAGTCCTGGTGGACTGTCCACTGTGGGCAAGAAAAGCCAAAGAAACGAAGCCAGTCCTGTGGCATGGTGGAGGGGTCACCCGTGGGCCCCCACTGCTCCTGCTGGGACAGCGGCTGGTGTGTGTGGGGGCTGGGGGTGAGGGGTCACACGTCTGTACTAATAGCCCTTGGATTGGTGAAGGCCTCACGCCCAGAGCCAGGCCACGTCACCGGGTAACCCTGCGGTGCTGCCAACTGCAGGGACAGGGGTCCCCCCTCCTTGTAGTGCGAGGGAGCGAAGGACAGCCTCTCGCCTCCGCCCCCGTTGGGCACCATGTCGGCCGTCCGTATGTAGAAGGGGGAGCTGTATGGGGAGCAGGCGGTGCAGGGGCGGGCTGCCACCCCGCACGGCTGGCCGCAGGGCTCGCTGGTGAGAGGTGCCAGGCCGCCTCTGCCGTCCCGGGCTTGGGAGCTGCAGGCATTGCAGGGGGGCCCTCCGGGGGGTGTGGGCAGCCCGTGCTCCTCCTCCTCCTCCTCGTCTGCATCCTCGGCTCTGCTCTTCTTGCAGCAGTAATACTGAGGGGACAGGGGGAGGGATGCCTGAGGGCCGATGCCCGCCCTGAGTGGCCGGGGCGCCCACGCCCCTGCTCCGTCGAGGACCCTGTGCCAGGCACTTCAGTGGCGCTGAGGATCAAACTCGACACCAGGAGCCACTTGTGAGTACAGACTCCCCGCCTTGCGAGACTTTCCCTTTCCTTCTCCTGCTTCCTCGGGCAGTAACCCCAGGTCGTGGTTGAGAGACACAGGGAGGGACATATGAATCGCACTGAGGACGGGGCTGAGGGCCCCTGGGGGCAGCTTTCAGAGTCTCCCCAGAATGGTGCCCTTCCCACCACTCCTGAAGTCTCGGATGTGCAGGAGACGCATTACGAGGAGCCACTACCTTCCCAGCACGCTCTCTGTGGCTGCCCCAGAGGGTGATGCGGAGCTTCCTTCTGATAGCCCCCAACTCCCGGCGCCCGGACTCACTCCTCCTACATCCCATGGCTTTGGGCTTTGTCACCCCCGAAGAGGATCTCTGGTATCTGTACCCAGAACGCGGAAGTCGTCTGCAGGTGGCCACTGCCCACAGGCCCAGGGGACTAACCTGGAGTCTACAGTAGCACAGGACAGCGATGATACAGAGGAGGATGACTGTAGCTAGGATTCCGCCAGTGATCACAACTGTTCCCGCTGTCATCCGCCCGATGCCCCATCCACCTCTGCGAAGAGATGCACAGAGAGGTGAGGGGCAGCAACGGCTGCCACACCGGACACAGGGCAGGAATCCCTCCCGAACTTTCCACACAGCTGGAGGCAGGGAGGGTCCAGAGGGTGGCCTGGCCTGGGTGGCCTCACCAGGGGGCTCATAGCTTCGGGAGGGCAGAGAGGAGGCAGAGCACTAACTGAAGGAGTCATGCTGCTTCCTCTTTCTACTCCGTTTCAGAGGTTCTCGCTGTTTTTCTTCTTGAATTCTCCTCTCCCTCTTTTCTCTCCTCTCCTCACATCCTGCTTAAACAACCATCCCCCACGCCAGGGCTCCAAGACACAAAGGAAAACAGCTTCCGTTTACTGAGGGCTTAGTCCGAGTGAGGCACTGGGCTAAGCTCCCCCACCCCCCAGCCCTCACCCCCGGGTTATCTCGGTTAATCCTCGTTGTAACCTTTGGGACCTCTTGATTGCCCCTATTTCACAAGTGATGAACTGAGGCTTTGATTTGGCTGAGATCCCCCCAGCCTGGATCACCCCGAGGTCATGCTCTCAAACACAGCCTTTGGAGGTCCAAACACCAATGGTCCCTGAGCCCTTGACCCAGGCTGGCCCCTCAAAAGTTCCACCTGGTTCTGCCCTGGCTCAGACGCACTTCTTTTGAGGGCAACTTTCCTCTCTGTCCAACCCTTGGGGGAAACCAGGGCAAGGTGAGCCCAGCGGGAGCAGCCAGATGGCACCCTGGCTCGGGGACAGCCGTGGCGGAGGCTGGGGAGGCAGTTCCCGGCTAGTGTGGGCTCACAGGACAGAGGCCAGCCTCAGGCCGGCTCCCCTTCCAGGTCGCGGAATGGGGGTTTCCAAGCCTCTCAGGCTCAGGGACCAAGCGTGGCTGCACCAACAGGGTAGGAGGGTGGGAGGAGCCGTCCTAAGTATGGCAGAATGACTGTGAGCCCTGCCTTTCGGTGAAGAAACCGGGGACCCGCAAGACAGCAAAAGGGGTGGGGATGTTGGAAGAGGAGAATTACTCCCTGGAAAAGGCCCCAAGGGTTCGGTTTGCCCCTGAGCTCCACCTCACCGCAAAACGCTTCCCTCTGATCATCAACAAGCCTACAAATCTTAAATCTGGGTCTCCGGATGTGTCTCCAACGCTGGTGGACAGACATTTCACTCGGATGTCCCAGGAGCATCTCAAACTCGATTATGACAGGCTAAATCATCACCCTCTCCCCACATGGGGTCCCCCATCTCAGACCTCTGTCTGTTAGTGGTTCCAGCAGCGCTGCTACCAAGGGTTTGGCAGGTTGTTACTCAAAGGGCAAACGGGGGGCTGGACCAAAAGCTGCACTCTGCTCAGGGAGCCAGGCGCCCCGCTGTGTTCCCCTGGAGGGAGGGGCGCCTTGTGTTTTTTTTACCCAAAGACACCGTCTGCTCCCTGCTATGTGCCCCTAGAACACTGCGTGCGCGGTGGCGCTGCTTCTCGCCACTCAGAGGTGCCCGCGGGGCGGTGCGGACCACGGTGTGGGCAGCATCTGGGGTCAGGCTAGAAATGCAGCATCTCAGGCCCCCCACAGTCCCGGTGAGTCAGAATCTGCACTTCAACAAGGTCCCCAGGGATTCATTTGCATAGCAGAGTTTGACAAGGCTGTGGGGTGTCCCCCAGTCGCCTAGACTTCAAGTCCCCAGTCTTCTGTCCTCCATGTCAGCTGAGACCCTGTGCACCTCCTGCCTGCCTGGGTGGAGCGGCTTTCTAACCGACCTCGCGGGTTCTGAGTGTGAGTGCCCTTCCCGCCTCCCACGGGTTAGGCTTTCATTGCGCCCAGTGCCCCGCTATTGCTCCAGGGCCTTCCCCGCATCGCACTGCCTGCACGAACTTTTAGCCTCAGTTTCCAGAGCTTTTCCCTGCCCCACTGCCCTTCATGCTCACCCCCGATGAATGCTTCCCTCCTCACCAGCCACCGAATCCTCCTACGCGAGTCCCCTGCCCATCGGGCAGGCCCGGTTCTTAAGGAGCTTATAGCCTCGTGATGAAAAGATCCAGAGCAGGGGCAGCCAACTACCCAGGGAAAGGTTCCGGGGAGGACGTCATGTTTGAGCAGAATCCTAAAAGCTGAGTGGGAGCCTGGCCAGTGGACACGGTCGAGAGGGTAGGAGTGAGAAAGAATATGGGGCTTCTAAGACCTGTAAGGAATCTGGAAAGGCCTGGACAGGGTGGGCGGGGGAGGAACAAAGCTGGAGAGGCTGTAACCCAGGCAAGGACATGGGGTTCAACTCTCTTGGAGACATGGGGTTCCTGATGAGCTCTCGGTAGGGGACGGCGTGATCTCGCTTTCCCCATCTATTTAAATCCTGCCCAGCTTCCAAGGCTCTGAGAAGCCATCCTGACTACCCCAACCACGATGTTCTCTCTTGTCCTGGATTCCTGCAATGCCTTTCCATGTGCCATTGTGCAAACCCTGTCTTGGTAGGACGCTCGTCAACCTTCATGTGTGAGCGTCTTGCTTCCTCCACTAAGTTATGAGTCCTTTGGGATCAGGAGTTGTGTCTCATAGTGCTTCCTATCCCCCTGCAGCATTACACACAGGGGGTACCTAATAATGAGTTTGATAATCATCTGGTATTTCTTTCACAGGCCTGGCAGTTATGACTCCGATCTACCACCAGGGGGCAGCAGGATGCACCTCTCAGCTCACATCCCCTGTGCAGACTTAAGTATCAATGGCCCTTTGAGACCAGGATGGCTGCCCAGATGCATCGTGGGCCATGCTTCTGGGCTTCACTGGGCGTTTGGTGCGGGATGAAGCTCAACCTTGGGAAGATTTATGCGCCTTCACTAGAACAGCATTCCACCTTCCCCTGCTTGCCCTGCATGCCCTTTCTGTCTCTTAAGCAGCCACTGAGGGCTGCTTAAGAGGCAGAAAGGCACACGGAGTGATCTGAAGCTGGGGGAGGCAGCAGCACCCCACTCTGCCGAAAGCTTTGGCCTAGCCCCCTGCGGTGTGCCCAGGCTGTGCCCTGGAGACAGAGAATTAGGAAGCCGTACAAGAACAGTGCCCTCCCACCCCGGCCCTCCGTGTCTGGCCTCTCCTCTCGCCACTGAAGGCTGCTTAAGAGACAGAAAGGCACACGGAGTGATCTGAAGCTGGGGGAGGCAGCAGCACCCCACTCTGCTGAAAGCTTTGGCCTAGCCCCCTGCGGTGTGCCCAGGCTGTGCCCTGGAGACAGAGAATTAGGAAGCCGTACAAGAACAGTGCCCTCCCACCCCGGCCCTCCGTGTCTGGCCTCTCCTCTCTGTGCCATGAGGGCTGCATAGCAGAAATGGCCTGGACGTGGGGGGGACATGGAGGTACAGGCAGAGTCACAGGTCTGAAGAACCACTCGAGGCCCAACTGTGCCACTCAGCAGCCACCTCAGCTCAGACACTGACCACCTTTCTCACTTGTAAAAGAGAGATTACCTCAAAACTCAGCTTACAGGTGCGATTGTGAGCAAAAAGTGAGATCTATGTATGTGGGAGCCCCTTGTAAACTAAAAGATCCTTCGAACATGGCGCTCTGTGGGGAAAAGGAAGGCCCAGACATTTTGTGGCTGCTTACGTCTCTTACGATCATAAACCAAGAAGGCTCAACATGTAAAGGGCATGCAGTGAGCTAGCCAGGTGCCAGCCAGTGTCCCTGAAGGCCCAGTACTAATGGTACAATTTAGCATTTAAATTCCCACACCCAGTGGCTCTCTATTATTTTAGGTGGGCTCATTTTCTCTTTACACCTAGATGTAAACGATAACAATAAGCGCCTCTAAACAACATTTGGCAGTTTACAACATGCTTGCATTTATATCCCCTCCTGTGATGGGCAGGCTCTAAGATGGCCCCTGATGAGCCCAGCCGCCTGGCAGTCGCGCCCGAGTACCCCTCTCCCCGCCCCTCGCGGGGCGGTACGACCTGTGACCTGCTTTTATCTAAAAGAATACAACACGGATGATGGGACGTCACGTCTGTGAACAGATTAGATAACATTCTGACTGCCTTCTTGCTGGTCAACTCTCTCCCATGCTGGTTTGGATGCAGCAAGTTGCTATGCTGGGGAGGCCCATGTGACAAGGAACTGAAGGTGGCCTCTGGCCCTCAGTCCACTGGACGGCAGGAGTTGAGGTCCTCAATCTAACAGCCCAAAAGGAACTGAATGATCACCTATGTGAGAGCCGAAGTAGATCCTTCCCCAGCTGAGCTTTCGGATGAAAACGCAGCCCCACACGTGCAGCCTCCGTCAGCCCCTGAAGCAGTGGGCCTTGCTAGCCAGGCCTGGATTCCTGACCCATGGAAACTGTGGGATCATCAACGTCTGTTGTTTCAAGCTGCTCAGTTTATGGTAGTTTGCTATGCAGCAAAAGATAGCTAACATCGCCTTTGAACCATAAAAAACAAAACCCACACAGGAGGGGAAGCCAGACCATTAAGCAATTTGCCTTAAATCATACAATAAGCAAGTGTCTGAGTCACGCAGGACCCCAGTGCCAGTGCTGTGGAGGTTGCATCATACCAGCCGCTTCCTGATTAGCTTCTGGAGGACAGGAGAAAGAGGTCCCTAAGTTCCCTCCCAGGGCCTAGAAGACTTGGGCAGAATGGATCTAGTGGTGGCCAACTCAAGGACAGGGGGCAGCCACAGAGGACAAACCTGTTGCCAACTAAAGACACCCGGGGCCTGCCCTCTGTGGCCTTGACCCTGGCGCTCCGTCTCCACTATCTCTCCCCACCCAGGTGGGGCCCAGATGTCTTCTTCTGGGGGGAGAAGGGTTGGCCTGTGCCTTACACTTACGTGAAACAGCTGAAGCAGTGATGGCCCAGTCACGCAGGCTGCACCTGAGCAGACAGCAGCTGGGGGTGCGTCATGGCCAAGGGCATCGGTCCCTGCCAGAGAAGAGGGAGGAAGATCGGTGAGAGCTGGGAGGGGTGGGGGGAGGACAAGAGGACAGACAGACTCGTGCTGGCACCTG